ATGGACATGAATTTTGGGGCATGCGACTCAACTTACTATGTATGCATACAATAGATAACCAGATACACAGTTATATCTGCATTAAACAGATGTGAAAATCTCTGGGGCCCACCCAGCACTGCTGGAATTTTACCGGCCAGGTACCCAGGTGAAAGTGAGGGCCCTGGCGTCCATCTCTCCTGGGCTACTCTGCCCTCTCGCTGGGGTTTTACCAAAGTGCCAGACCTCGTGTCCTGGAGAGCTGGCATCCCAAGACAGCCACAATCCTGACGTCAGAAGGGTGTGATGGGCCCTGTCCAGGGTGCCACCTGTCCTTCCCATGAGCTTTCTCAGGGCACGGAGAGTGGAGCTGGCTGCCACACAGATCCTGGGACTCTGAAAAGTCTTCCTCGTTTTGGAGCTGGTGGCTGGGGTTGTCACTTGTGAGAGCAGAGCAGGTGTGGTGTTTTGTGTGATGGCGTGAGGGTCATCTGTCCACCCAGCTTCTGCTCCCCAGCCCTGCCCAGCACAGCTCATCAGGGGAGAGGAGGCAGCTCGCACTTGCGTGTGTTCATTGGCGGTGACTCTTCCGTGGATTTCTCTGGAACTGTGGGTGGCGGGTTTCAAAGGAACAGCCAGCTGACTCGTGGGTGCGGCGGGTGAGAAAGAACAGCCCTGTGGGGGAAGACGGAGCTCCGGAGGGTGGGCGGGAGCTGGGATCAGGCCTGAGCTGCGGGGCCCTGCTAACACCTGTCTCAGCCACAGCGCTTCCCTGGAGACCTCCTGGGGCCTGGACCCAGAGCAGGCCAAACATGCCCATGGCTCCCTGTGGCCCAGAGGCTGTCTCTGGGATCAGTTCTTCAGGGATCAGGTCACAGACCCCTGGGACCTCTGCGGAGCCAGGCTGGACGCAAGCAGCTGCCGTGGGAGCTGCGGCAGGGCCTGGGAGGAAGGGAGCCAGGGCCTTCAGGGATGTCAGAGGCTGTGGCTGCCAACTTCTCCCGTTCACTTCCCTGCCTCCCTTGGTGCTCAGCCCCACACAAGGCATTTTGGAGGCATATGGGTTCCCAAAAATCACATTTTTTTTTGAGACAGGGTCTCACTCTGTCACCCATGTTGGAGTGCGGTGGCGCGATCATGGTTCACTGTAGCCTCAACCTCCTGGGCTCAAGCAACCCTCCCACCTCAGCCTCAAGTAGCTGGAACCACAGGTGTGCGCCACCGTGCCTAATTTTTGTATTTTTGTAGTGGCGGGGCCATGTTGCCCAAGCTGGCAAAAAGCACAGTTTGAAACCTCTGAGCCAGAATTTGATTTTTCAGACACAGACTCCTCGGAGAATCCCGTGAAAACTCAGGACACACACGAATGGCGTTCGCTGTGGGACCCCAAAGAGTCTTTGAAAGCCCACCCACTGACAGCAGGACGAGAACCTTTTTGGGGTCTTTCTGAACACTAAAGTTCTGTGCAGAGCACCCCAGCAGCTGAGACGTGTCACCATGGCGACGGCCCAGCGCGTGGAACTCTCAGGGTTCCCAGTTGGGCTGCAGAGTCTTCAGTCTGCAGTCCAAGACTTCTGGGCCTGTGCCTGGGGGTCTTGGGTCACTACTGTGGGTGGGGGAGGGGACCCTTGCGTTGCTGGGATCGGAGCAGGGGAGACCCTTGCACTGCCAGGATTGGAGCTCATGCATCCCCAGCCAGCTCGCCTGCAGCTTGATGACTTTAGCTCTTGTATATTTGTGTCCCCACCACCACCATAGGTAGGTACTGGAATCTCAGACACTTCTGCCTCCTGCTCCATGTCCTATCCGAGGTCTGCAGTCCAAAATCTAAATGCCTGAGCCCCCAAATGTGCCTCTCCTGTAACAAGTGTCACACGTTTTGGGTTGCAGGAGACCCCAAAACCCAATACAAATTGCCTCAAGCAAAAAATGGGAATTTATGGGTTCATGTAATTGGCAAGTCCAAGAATGATCTCACTTCAGGTACAGCTGGATCCAGGCGTTCAAATCATGTCTCCTCCCCCACCCTGAGTTTAGTCCTTTTCCACACCGGCTCACCTGCTCCATCTCTTGGTTCCGATCAGGTCTTCTCCACATTGGAGAAGAGTTGGTTTCCACTCCTCCTCCTTGTGGCCCACCTTGGGCACACCTTGTGCCTCCCTTGTGTCTAACCTGGGAAGTTAGTCCCAGCAGAGAGACTTTCTTCTTTCATCTGCAGCAGAAGCTCCAGGGTGGACTCTGACTGGCTGACCCGGGGCCATTGCCTAACTCTGGACCCATCTCTGAGGCCCACCTGCAACTTGGGGTGAGAAGACAGTGCCACCCAAACTACCTGGATGGAGAATGGGGGAGAGGTACTACCCCGAAAGCAACACGCTAGAGGCTCACAGCCAGGACTCCTGGGTTTTGGGGTCTCCGGCAACCCCAAACGTGTGACACTTGTACTATTATAGGAGAGGCACATTTTGGGGCTCACGCATTTAAATTTTGGACTGCAGACCTTAGATAGGACACGGAGCAGGAGGCAGAAGTGGCCACCTCCCTGGGCACTCTCATTACCATGGAAGACTTCATGTTGCAAGATGCTGCAACTTTCCCATAGCTCCCTGTGGTTGCCAGGGCACGCTCGGTCTCTGGGTAGGGCAGGCTGGCACTGCCAGGGAGTCAACCCCCAGGAGCAGCCCTCAACCAATGATGAATGGGTGTTGGCTAATATGCCAGCTTCCTCGCCCTTGAAAGGTACAACCGAGACCTGTTCTCCCAACTCTCCCAGAGGCCCCCAGCAGGATTGAGCCCCTGTTGCCCACAGTATAGACCTACTCACTCCTGCACCCTGCGCAGGCTGCCTTCCCTCCCTGTCCTCTACCAGTGCTTCCTGGGGCCACCTCCCCAATAAACTACTTGCTTTCACCTCCTTGTCTTAGTTTCTGGGTCTGGGGAATCCCAGCCTAAGACAGGACTGTTGCTAGAAGACAGACTGGATGTTGGGCAGGCAAAGAAAATCAATATCACGATGACAAATGAAAAAGAAATTAGAGGCCGTACGTGGTGGCTCAAGCCTGTAATCCCAGCACTTTGGGAGGCCGAGATGGGTGGATCACGAGGTCAGGAGATCGAGACCATCCTGGCTAACACGGTGAAACCCCGTCTCTGCTAAAAAAATACAAAAAAATCTAGCCGGGCGTGGTGGCGGCTACTCGGGAGGCTGAGGCAGGAGAATGGCGTAAACCCGGGAGGCGGAGCTTGCAGTGAGCTGAGATCCGGCCACTGCACTCCAGCCTGGGCGACAGAGCGAGACTCCGTCTCAAAAAAAAAAAAAAAAGAAAAAAAAAGAAATTAGAGGCTCACGCCTGTTACCAGCACTTTGGTAGGCCCAGGCGGGTGGATCACTTGAGGCCAAGAGTTCGAGACCAGCCTGGCCAACGTGGCAAAACCCTGCCTCAACTGAAAATACAAAAATTAGCCAGGCATGGTGGTGCATGCCTGAAATTCCAGCACTCGGGAGGCTGAGACTTCAGAAACGCTTAGAACCCAGGAGGTGGAGCTTGCAGTGAGCCGAGGTTGCACCACTGCACTCTAGCCTGGGGGACAGAGTAAGACTCTGTCTAAAAAAAAAAAAAAATTCCAGGGGCCACAGGACTCACACCACTCAGCATGTTTGTCACCTGACCTGGGACCCCTCTAGCCTGCTGTGACAGGCCCTCTTCAGGTACTGCTGCCTCTGGGCCTAGATTCCACTGGATTCCAGTGCACAGTAATGTCTTTTTTCCAACTCAGCTGCCGGCACAACAGAGGACAGAGATGTTCCCTCAGAGGTCATGGTTCTCAGGCTAAGGGTCATTTCAGGATGGCCATCACGGCCATCACGGTGGCCATGGCCTCAGACTGAAAGTGATCCCTGTAGATTCCAGGATCTGCAGCCAGGCTTGGGAGCTGCTCTTCGGAATACGCCTCAGTGACTAAGGTACCTGACTTTGCAGCTCCTCCTAAAGAGGCAGAGCCCGTTTCCCTTCCCCCTGAATCTGGGCTGGCCTGGTGACTTGTGCAAGTGCCCACCGGAGCTGCCAGATCTTTAAAGAGAAACCAGCAATCTGGAATTTTTGTTAATCTCTGGATGTGTTTTTTTTTTTGAGATGGAGTCTCGCTCTATCGCCCAGGCTGGAGTGCAGTAAGGTGTGATCTTGGCTCACTGCAACCTCCACCTCCCGGGTTCAAGCAATTCTCCTGCCTCAGCCTCCTGAGTAACTGGGACTACAGGATCCCACCACCAAGCCTCATTTTTGTATTTTTAGTAGAGACGGGGTTTTGCCATGTTGGCCAGGCTGGTCTTGAACTCCCGACCTCAGCTGATCCACCCGCCTCCGCCTCCCAAAGTGCTGAGATGACACGCGTGAGCCACTGCACCCGGCCCTTATTTATTTCTAAACCTTTTGACTTTTAAACGTGGGTAACTAATTTGAATTCTATAAAAATACTGTGAGGGAAAACTAAGCCCTGGTCATTCAAAGTATGGTCGGGGGCTGGGCGCGGTGGGAGGAAAAGGCAGGAGGTTCACTTGAGGCCAGGAGCCTGGGCAACACAGTGAGACCCCTTCTCCACAAAAGATTTTTAAAAATTAGCTGGGCGTGGTGGCATGTGCCTATAGTCCTAGCTACTTGAGGCTGAGGTGGGAGAATCACTTGAGCCCAGGAGGTCAAGGTTGCAGTGAGCCGAGATAGTGCCATTACACTCCAGCCAGGGCAACAGAGCGAGATCCCGTTTCTAAGAAAGACAAGTGTGGTCTGGGGACCTGAAGCATCAGCATCACCTGCAAGCTTGTTGGAAATGCAGAGTTGCTTGCCTCACCCCAGGCCCAAATCTGCATTTTAACAAGATCTCCTCGTGACCTGTGCATATTAAAGTTTGAAAAGCACTGTATTAAACAAGCAGGGAACAGGACTTGGCTCCGGGACACCGCTGTGACCTGTTTCGGGATAAGCTACACCTGCTAAGCCCTAGCAGCGCCCTGAAGTCCATGATTCAGAATCCAGACACCACCTGGTGGCTCCTTTTATTATATCAATTTATTCAAGTGATTAAAAAAACTTTTGGCAGCAGGATGACAAAATAGGTCTGTAAACATGATTTCATCCCCCGCCCTTCTTCCAAGCAGTTTCCTATGACAGGAAATCGAATTCTAGTTGGCAAATCCTGTGATGAGGTCTGTAGGAAAGGGGTCCTGTGTCACAGCGGGGAAGGCAGACTCGCCCGTTTAACCCGCCCCAGCCAGGGGTGCTGGCCGGGATGTGCTGTTTTGTCACGATGTGGTCACCGGGCTTGGTTCATTGGCAGCCCCTTCCCCAGGAGGTGGGAGACTCTTTGGCAGTGCAGCAGCCCTCCCGGGGACACAGGCTTCTCGGCAGCAGACACAGGCAGGCAGGAAGCAGCCGGCTGAGTCTTTCCAGGGAGCGCGGTATTGCTAGGGTCACAGGTGCCCTGGCAGGTGGCCAGGTGAGGGGCTGAGGCACAAGTGCTATCAGGAACTTGGCTGCCCCACAGGGGCTGAGGACACCCAGATGGTCCACGCCAGTGGCCTTGAAATTTCCCCTGCAGAAGCCAGACGATGGGGAAACAAGCTTTCGGGACGTGCCACCCGGGGCAGCTGGAGTCTTCAGTCCTTGAAGGGGTTGTGGGCGCCCCCTGGCTGCTCCTTCTCTACGGCCAGAAGCTCCCCGTTCATCTCCTGCAGCGGGTGGTATGCATAGTCCCCACGCAGGCGCCGGTTCCTCTCTGCTCTGGACAGGAGCAAGGACAGGTTCGCGGCGATGCTGAGCAGCAGGAGGAAGGCCAGCGCCAGGGTGAGGGCTAGCCAGGTGGTCCTGCAGACAGGAGAGAAGCCCCAAGTGGGGGACTGCTGCGTGGACTCGGGGCTGCGGGAGCACTGGAGGGGCTTCCCTTACCCAGTAGAGACAGCACTCAATCAGGTGCCTCCAGGGACCACACAGGGAATGTTTTGAGCAAAACGGACTAGGTGGGGATGGGGCAACATTTAAGACATGTGTAGGGTACAGCAGAGGCAGTCATGACATGCAGTGCAGGTCCGTGCTACCCCATCTCCTGATTTTATTTTTTTGAGGTGGAGTCTCATTCTGTCACCCAGGCTGGAGCGTAGTGGTGCCATCTCGGCTCACTGCAAGCTCCGCCTCCCGGGTTCAAACGATTCCCCTGCCTGAGCCTCCGGAGCAGCTAGGACTACAGGCTCGAATGACCATGCCCGGCTAATTTTCATACTTTTAGTAGAGACCAGGTTTCACCATGTTGGCCAGGCTGGTCTTGAACTCCTGACCTCAAGTGATCTACCCGCCTCGGCCTCCCAAAGTGCTAGGATTACAGGTGTGAGCCACTACGCCTGGCCTCATATTTTAAGAGAAGCCACTAAAAAAGTTTTTAAGGCTGGGTGTGGTGCTCACGCCTGCAATCCCAGCACTTTGGGAGGCTGAGGTGGGTGGATCACTTGAGGTCTGGAGTTCAAGACCAGCCTGGCCAACATGGTGAAATCCCGTCTCTACTAAAAATATGAAAATTAGCTGCGCACCTGTAATTCCAGCTACTCAGGAGACTGAGGCAGGAGAATCGCCTGAACCCAGGAGGCAGAGGTTACGGTGAGCTGAGATCACACCATTGCACTCCAGCCTGGGTGACAGAGTCAGACTTCTTTTCAAAAAAAAAAAAAAAGTTTAAAAACAAGTGTATGTTACTGCTTTTCAGATGCTGCTAATATATTTAAAATTTTTAAAAATTGTGTAAGCCAAATAAAACACAACTGGAGGCTGGGCATGGGGGCTGGGAGGCCAAGGTGAGAGGATCACCTGAGCCCAGGACTGTGCACCTCGTCTGTGCAACACAGTGAGATCCTATCTCTAAAAAACAGTAAAAAATAAAATTAGCTGGGTGTGGGGGTATGTGCCTGTTGTCCTAGCTACTTGGGAAGCTGAGGCGGGAGGATCGCAGTGAGCTGACTGCACCACAGCACTTCTGCCTGGGTGACAGAATGAGGAAACCCCCTGCCCCCACCCTGGGATCTCATCTAGCCCCGTTTGCATTCTGAGCTCCACGGCGGATGCTGACAATAGAGGCTGGGCACTCAGAGGCCCTGGGCTCTGCTCCAGGGTCCCCAAAGCAGACAGTGGGGAGAGCTGGTTCCCCTTCCTCTAAGGCAGGGAGCTGGCAGGGGACAAGGGTGGAGATGGACCACACAGGGGAAGGGTGCGGGAGAGAAGGGGGATTCCTCCCACCTTGGCCCCACCTCCCACAGAAGCACCTACCTGGTGAAAAAGGAGAGTTCTCCCGCCCTCAGGGTGGCTTCAGATGGCTGGAGACACTGCTTTACTGTAACATACCAGAGACAGGCTGAAGGGGCCGGAGCAGGAGCGTCTGCCCATACCCCCTCCCCTTGGAGGGGCAGGTACCTCCGGAGACGCTGCAGTTGCCAGTCTTGGGGTCACAGGGACAATGGTGCTCACACTCACAAGGCCTCTGGCAGCCCGGCCCGTGCCAGCCAAGGGGACACTCTAGGGAAAGGAGATGGGAGAAGGGAGGAGAGAGGACAGAGGTTGGGGCCTCCAACGTCAGAGCCTTTCTTCACAGGACAGGATACCTGCCCTGCCCCATGTGTACAGAGCTGGGCTAAAGGCGAAGCACCCCTGCCCGCCCTGGGCTAGCCCCTGAATGTGACCTTATTTGGAAGCAGAATCTCTGCAGAGGTACTTCAGTGAGGATCTCAAGAGGAGATCATCCCGGATTTAAGCTCGGCACTGGAGCCAGAGCCCAGGATCCTTGTTTTAGCCGAGCCCTTTGTGGAATGGGCTGCAGCAGCCACAGGGAATCATGCAGTGATTTGCAAGTGAGGCAGGGGCAGAAGACAAGAGGCAAGCTGTTCTCAGATCAGAAGGTGGGGACAGAGGCAGCAGAGGAGCAGTGGGGGCTGTTGGGGCCACCGTCTCCCCACCCGCCAGTGGCGTGGCAGCTCCTACCTTCACTGCAGTTGGACCCGGTCCAGCCGGCATCACAGCGGCAGCCAGCTGCCGAGATAAGACGGGGGAGGCCAGGTGAGGGCCCAGGGCAAGGCAGGGCCGGGCAGAGACCCCTTCCCAGAACCCCCACTCACTCTCTGTGCACAGCCCATGTTGGCTGCAGTTAGAAGGGCCACAATCCAGCTCGCCGCAGCTGGGACCCCGCCAGAAGTGCCCGGTGCACTGGCAATGCCCGTCCACGCAGGTCCCATGGCCGTGGCAGTCAGGTGGCTGGCAGCGGGGTTCGTGGACACACACCACGGTGGACACTTGGCGGGGACAGCGCCACATGTTGTCCTGGCTGTAGAGGGATATGATGTGTGAGGAGAGGCCACGCCCAGACGGCCCTTCAACTCCCTCCAGAGCAGCCCCCACCGCCCCTCTCTCCATTCTCGTCTGTCTGCCTCCCTACCTATGAGATGGGGTCTATCTATTTATTTCTGAGATGAGGTATTGCGATCCTTCCACCTGAACCTTCTGAGCAGCTGTAACCATAAGATGTGCACCATCACGCCCAGCTAACCTTTTTTATTCTTTGTAGAGATGGGGTCTCGCTATGTTGCCCAGGCTGGTCTTGAACTCTTGGGCTCAAGTGATCCTCCCACCTCGGCCTCCCAAAGCACTGGGATTCCAGGCGAGAGCCCCTGTGCCCGGCCCCTCTCCAGCCTTTTATAGGTTCCTCTGCTTCCTACAATCCCTCCCAGCCCTGGGCCTTTCACACATGGTGCCCTCTGCCCTGAAGGGTCTCCCACCCCCACCCCGCTACCACCTCCTTCAAATCTCAGTTCTTATTCTGTTATCGTCAGGGAGGTCTTTGTTGGCCGACTGACCCCTGTTCCTAGGCTGGGGTAGTATTGGCATCCTGGGGGAGGGACTGTAGCAATTTCTGCTTGCTCTTGAACCCCCAGAGCCTGGCACACAGCAGGCACTCAATATTGGCTGAATGAGACAGGCTGGGGCAGACCTGGACTTCAGCCCTCATGATGGCGGCTTTCATGTGCTTACCAGTGATCTGACGGGTAACTGGCCAAGGTCCCATTGAGCACGAAGGTGGCAGAGCCACCCCCATCCAGGTTGATGGCGTTGACCACGTCCTGTTTCAGCAGGAACTCCGCCATTTCCCACAGGTTGATGCTGCGGCACAAAGTGGCACTGTTCAGGCTCAGCGCCCACCATCGTTTCCGATTTAACTCCTTTTCCTTCCGCGGTGCGCAGCGGCACGCCCACGGTGCAGGCACAGTTCTAAGCGGCCCCCATCCTCAAGCATGTCTTGTCCTAGCTCCCAGAGGCTGTGAACATGTGAGATCACACCCATGCCTGTGCTGTTACATGGCATAGGCATCCTTAAGGGAGGGGAAATGGCCTGGAGGATCTGGGTGGGGCCCTTGGAATCACAGGAGCCCTTCAACACAGAGAACCTTCTCTGGCTGGTGGCAGAAAAGGAAGTGAGATTTGAAATACGAGGGGATGAGACGGTGGGCTGGACAACTGGGGGAGGGGACACATGTGGGAAGGAACCTGGGCAGCTTGAAGGAGCTGAGGCCCCAGACTGCGGCCAGCAGGGAAACTAAGACCTGAGTCCCACAACTGAGGGGACGTGGATTCTGCCAATAACCTAAACAAGAGGATTTTTTCCAGATCAGAGAGCCCTGCCTGACCAGCATCTTGGTTTTGTCCATGGAATACCCTGAACATAGAACATTCCAAGTTGACCAGCCTGGCCAACATGATAAAATCCTGTGTCTACTAAAAATATAAAAATTAGCCAGGTGCAGTGACTCACGTCTGCAATTCCAGCACTTTGGAAGGCTGAGGTAGATGGATCACCTTAGGTCAGGAGTTCGAGACCAGCCTGGCCAACATGATGAAACCCCCATCTCTACTGAAAATATAAAAATTAGCCGGGCGTGGTGGTGGGTGCCTGTAATCCCAGCTACTCGGGAGGCTGAGGTGGGAGGATCACCTGAACCCGAGAGGTAGAGGTTGCAGTGAGCTGAGACTGCACCACTGCACTCCAGCCTGGGCGACAGAGTAAGACCCTGCCTCAAAGAAACAAACAAAAGAACATTCCCTGTTGAGTGTTGCTAAATTTGTGCTAGTTACGCAGCCAGAGCAAACCAATACTCTCTCTTTATAGGGGATAGAAATGCGGCTCAGGGAGGCTGAGTGACTTGTCTGCGGCATAGGATGGCTGTGCTGGGGTTGGAACCAAGGTCTTCTCCCTGCTAACTTTGTGACCGTTTCCTTGTATCCTAACTAGGGTTCAGGAAAGGTGAGGCCTAAAGCTGGAGATGATGAGTTCTTGGACTCGGGAAAGATCTCAGGACCCTCATCCTGTGGAAGGGTAGGCGGGGGGGGCCCTGGAAGGGGGAGTCAGATAGGTGTGAACATCCCAGAAAGCAGGCAGAGTCAGAGGGCGGCTGTCATTGGGTCAACGTTCCTCCCAGCAGGACTGAGCCCCAGCCAGGGGGCCTCAGCGCCCAGGACTCACCCACGCTGCTCCGTTTGGCCGTCCGCATGAAAGAGCACCAGCTGCCCTTTCCGGTCGTGGCCAATGGCCGTCCTGGCTGATATCACATTCACAAATTTGCTAAAGGAACCTGAAGGAGAAGCAGCCTGGCTGATCACCGGCCCCTTGGGAGGCCTCCTGCTTCTTGCCTAACTCCACTTCCCACTGGTCTGAGCTACCCGCCACTTTCCTGGGAAGCACAGCAGCCTCCTGGCTCATCTCCCTGCCTCCCCTCTGCATATCCCAGTCTCCCCAGGACAGCCGGGGGGCTCTTCTTGCAGGTAAACCAAGCTATGCCAGCCTCCAGGTGAAGACCCTCTAATGCCTTCCCCTGTTCTTTTATTTATTTTTATTTTTTATTTTTTTTGAGACCAAGT